AGAGCCTGTTCCCTTAGAATTTAGAGCCTGGAACAGAATGTGTGCTTCCAGCTGGCATCTGGCTTTCAGAAGGGAGGAAGTCAGCAGCGTCTGAGCCTCACAGGCTCATTTCTTTTGCTGAAGGCTCCATTTGGAGCATTCATGCCACCTCCCCTAGAAAGTGAGTGAAGGGATAGAAAAAGGCTTAGACTGTTACTCGAGGCGGCTCCATCCACATGGAAGGAAACACTGAGTGTGGGAAACAAATATTCCCCTGTCAGGAACAGCCCTCTCTATTGTGCTCTTCATTTGTTTGTTTACTTCCTTCTCCAGACTGTGGGGTTCTTGAAACAGAGTATCCCAGCACCCACCCCAGAGCCTGGCACACAGTAGATATTCAGGAAGGGGAGGAATGAATGAATTCTCATCTTCTAATGCCAGTATTTTTGTAAAGAATTTCTTTCCTGGATTGAGAAGGATTCCTTTTCTTCTCATTTTATCCTCCTCATTGCACCCGTGATCATGCCTCTATCATATTTTCTATGTCTTCTCCCTTTTCTATATAATGCAGGTCAGACAAGGGGTGAGGTATTGCTGGATGATTCAGCAAATATTTTTCCCCAGGTCATACTCTTTTTCCCAGCCTGCCCAGGCCAATCCCTAGCCATGAACAAGTAAAGGGGGCTGTGGGTACTATGTGGGATAAGGCAGCCCCCAGCCCTGGAACTGCTGCCCCATCTGTGATGAATGACAATACCGCCTTACCCACCTTGGTAACATTGGGAAGTCACTTTGGAAAATGGAAATACTCTGTGGGCATGAAACAGTGGGGTATGTGGGAATGTGTTAGGGGAAATTCATGGCAATGTAGTGGTAAAAGATGGTCCAGACTCCACCAGAGTGGCAGAGGAAGACAGTGCAGGTGTTCACTGGTAGTGTTTCACGTGTTTGCTTATTTGGTAAAATTGGAGGGTATGTCCCAAAGGGGGCAAGATTCCCCAGCTAGCCCACTAACGCCTGCATGACTCATCACATATATATTTAACAAGTATCTACTAAGTTCTAGGTATGTGCTGGACATTAAACATAGTATCTCAGTTCTTTTCAATAACCCAGTAATGGAGAATCGTCCCCCTTTTTACCAGTAAAGATACTGAGATCAAATTACTTGCACAAGGTCACACAGTTAGTGAGTACTGGAACTGAACTGATCATAAGCGTGATGCTGCAGAGGGTATGGGGACTATGAGCAGCAGGGATGGAGAGAGCTGGGGAGTTTGGAGGAACTACAAGTCTTCCATGGAGATCATCTGTAAAGTCCGTTGTTCACAGTTACCTGCCTTTGGGTCACCCTTCCCAGAGAGAGGAGTGACCTCTACACTCCCAGCTCTTTCTAAGCTCTAGAGTGAGGTCACTGCTGGCCTAGAAATGCCATTCTTGTCTTCAGAAATTCTGGATGAATAAAGCAAGCAGGATCCTGACTGGCTGAGGCAAGAGGGGTTCTCTAGGGCACTGTTCCAGTGTTGGAAGCCCTGGGCTCTAGGCTACTGGCTCAGGGGGATTACTATGTCGGCAATGCCTGACCCTCTACAAAGGCTGAACATTGGCAATTTTGAAAAAATGTTTCTGTAGACAACTGTAGCCATTCCTCTGAAAGTAGATAAATATATAAAGAAACTTGAAATTTTTAATGCTAGGATGAGCATTTTGATATTTAATGTGGGTAGATCCTTTTTCTGTCATTTTGGTCTGTTCCTTACCCTACAGCTTTCGTGAACAGGGAACTAAGAGAACAATAGCCTTAAGGTTCCAAAGAGAGTAGAAATACTAAGCAGGAATTAGGCTAGGTAGAGAATAATCTAAGTGCTTTCACCTTTGAGATTTGTTGCTGCCCTTTGGGATTTGAGGTCCGTCTCTGGAGAGTTGCAGTAATTCTCCCTGGCTGAGATTCTACGTCTGTTGAAATCATTTCTTGGGGAAATGGTTTTGGTACTCTGTTGAAATCATTTCTTGGGGAAATGGTTTTGGTTTCCAGTGCACCTCTTTCCTTGGCAGGGTCTGTCCTCCTCCTGTTCCTTCTGTATCCCAGCTCTAGCTGCCCAGAACTAATGGCAATCAAGGACATTACTATCCATTGTGCATTTATTGGGTGCCATGAACTGCACTAAGCCCTTAACCTTTATTGCTTCGTTTGTTCTCACAACAGAGAAGGCTGTTATCAGGCCACCATTCCCTGATGCCACACCTCCTGTCTCATCTCCAATCTCTCCACGATGATGTCTCCTTCCTGGCCCTTATAGACTTTGATTAATCTTTCCTTCCTCTGTGTTCCAGTCACATCCATACCTAGCCCTGACATAGCATATATCTTGCAACATTGTGATAATTGGCCTGTATGTTTACTCATCCATTCTTCCATTCAACTCATTTTATTTAGTACTTGTTCCATTCAACTCATTTTATTTATTTGTTGTGTGTTTGTTGCCCTCTTTGGACTTGGAATTCATTTAAAGCAAGAGACCACGCCTTGTTCTTGCTATATCCCCAGGACACAGCACTGCGCCTGGCTTATAGTAGATCGTCAGGAAATGTTTGCTGAGAGAAGGGCTCTCAATGATGTCTAGACCTAGGACAATCTTCTTTTGGTCCTTCCAACCCCAGACACTGGAGAATGGGAAACTTGTCCTTAGCTCTTAACTTGGTAAGGAAGCACAGCTGAGATTCTGGGTGCTTGATTCTCAGTGGTCCACTTTACTAGAGGTACCACGCTGCAGTTAATCCCAGAGAGCCAGTAATGCCAGCATCATTCTTCATGAGCATTATTTCCATGGATGTTGAGCACTCTGCAGATGTCAGCTGTGTGCTGGGAGCTAGACCCACAGAGATGCATAAGACACACATACACACAACCTACAACCTGAAGAGATCATCAGACTACATGGAGAAGTGGCGAATTAAACTCAGACTGGGTTAAGTACCATGGTTCACTGAGAGTATGTTTTAGAAGGAGGCAAGATTAGAGACAGTTATCTAGAAAAGATGTCATTTGCAAGATCAGAGAGTTATCTAGAAAAGATGTCATTTATCTGAACCCTGAAAAGGAATAGGATTTGGATTTGAGAAAGTAGGTGGAAAAAGTTTCCACATGAGCAAAGGCATAGAGGTGGGAAGTTGTGTTTTGGGGGAGCACAAACGTCATTCAGATAATTTATTTGTCAGTAATTGGCAGGGGTGAGATAAGGTTGACCATTGTTACCATAAGTGTGTCACTGTGGTGTTTTTTATTTCCTTCTCCCTACCATTGCTTCCTCAAAATAGCTCTGCTGGGTTATAACCTGAAATACTTTGTTCCTTAAAGGACAGAGGTAAGAGAATCTTCTGTGGAGTGAAGCCCTACCCAGGCAGTCACATGGGGTTCTTGGTCCAGATGCAAACTCAGTGACCCTTCATATACAAGCCCCTCTGCCTCTCAACCATGTGCTAAAAGGAGCCCACAGGGCCTCCCAGGCCACCCATGAGTTTCTAGAAAATGTAGGCACTACAGGCAGCTGCCTCGCGCCATCAGCAGGAGGAGGCCAGCAAGGCAGATTAGTCACTCCACATCATTTTATCTGTTGAGTCAACATCTATTTTTAGGTGTGGAACCCATAAAAGGACCTGGCATCTCTGTCATGGAAAGGAAGAGAATGCCATGGATAAGGGGTCCGCATATCCTTCATCTCCTTTGTTAGATCCAGTCTTTCCCCTGAAGGTTACAGGAGCAAGGTCCACTGTAGGTTTAGAGCTTAATGTCAAAGGCCCAGTTTAATGGGTGCAGTTCCTTTTGCACACATGCTTTTGTGCACATACACAAACGCACACATACATTCACCCCTATAGTCTTAACAGGTCTTGAGAATCGATTATATGGATTAAATAAAAGTTCCAACTGAAAAATGCTAAAATGTATAGGTCCCTTCCTATCCAACATTGTCAGATGTGCTCTGAAATGACTGTTTTCATCATCTATTCTGAGCCATAACCACCCCAGAAATAGCTTTAGCAGGAAAGTGCTTTTGTTAGACTAGCTGTAAATTATATTTCAAATGTCTGATGTTGTTTTCTTAAAAAATAAATAAATAAGTAAATGAAAGTCTAAAATTAATGACTGCTGGGGTTTGCTTTGCTTATGTGTACTGCTACAGATTTGGCTTCTTGCAGATGGAATTTCAGATCTGTTTACACTCTGTGTTAGCTTTTGGGGGAAAAAAAGCAGTTGAGAGATCTGGGAGGACAAATTTACAAAGTCGAACTTCTTATAACCATCGGTGAAGCTTTCTTCTCTCTCACACTGCCCTTCCCCTCCCTCCTTTCCACTGTGCTCCCATTTTGTTTGTTGTGGTTTTCTCTGCCCTGCCTCAAAGTTAGAGGCAACTGGTCCTTGCAGATGTGACGACAAGGTCACATATCCAGTTTGCAAGCAGATGTTCATTCAGCCCTATTTCACCAGCACTTTGTCATTCAGCAAGAGCAGACCTCAAGGGAACAGATTGGAGCAACATAAAGGATGGAACATAAAAAATCTTGCAGAGACCCTGATCGCTTTTATGTATTCAAAAAGAAGGGAATGGGGGTAGGGAGGTGGCAAGGAGAGAAGTGTGCAGAGCAGAATTTCATGGGCTTTTTTTTTTTTTTTTTGGTTTATTCAAAGATTATTATGTGTTGGATACAGTAAATCATCTATACACCCACACCCAGGAGGTAAATCTTCAGAACTCCATGCGTGGGTAGCTCTGCATTTAACAGCTGCCATACAGTAGCTATTTTGTTCTGCACTTAGAGACCCTTATCTGTGCATTTGTTTTAAGTTATCAACTCTCCTCGTGTTCCTCTACTGCTGTTCTCCTGATTCTCATTGCTATTACAAGAGTAGCTAAAAATCAGAACTACTGAATGATATAAGCTGAAACCATGAGTTATAACAGTAGATGAGGGGCTGTCATCTTGGTTGTTGACTCAGTCTCTACTCCAGGAGTGATTGCCTGTAATGGATTTAGCGCCTCTTGCCTTTTCATAGGTCTCATATGCCCGTCCGAGCTCTGCCTCAATCAGGGATGCTAACCTCTACGTTAGCGGCCTTCCCAAAACCATGACCCAGAAGGAGCTGGAGCAGCTTTTCTCGCAATATGGCCGTATCATCACCTCACGAATCCTGGTTGATCAAGTCACAGGTTAAGTGTTTCTTTGTAATTCCTTTCCTTGTATCTCAAAATCAACAACCGATGCCTTGCTACCCATAAGAACAAAAGGCTAATGGTTGCTTAAGGTAGAGGATGTGGGTATGAACAAATTATTGACTTGGGAGAAAGATTTCTTATCAGTCAACTGCCGAAATTTAAACTGAATCATCTTGGGAGGAAGGAATTCTCTGTCGTGGGACTTGTTTTAGCAGCAACTAAACTACTTGGTAGGATTGTAAAGAAGATTCAGGCATCAGACTAAGAGTGAGGCTGTGTGTGACTTTCAAAGTCTTTTTGAGCCCTCAGCCAAGTAGCATTTCTTTATATGTTAAAGAACCTGTATGTTTAGCTCTAAGCTCCAGTTCATAGCATTATAGAGCAAGAGGTACCTCAAACTGCCTCATTTCACACGTGAGGAGCCAGATCCAAAGTGGGGGATCTGACTTCCCATCAACTAGTTAGTAGCAGTACAGGAATATGAACCCAGTATCTGGTACTGAGGTTCTCTGTCCATAATAGAGAAAGGCAACCACCACCTCTTTGTAAGAAATGGAAGGTATTCTGGGTTTAATGACAGGTGTTTTTGCCTACCCCTAGTTTATTCCCGGTTTAGAACTCATCCCCTGAGAGTAGTTTAGCACATGTTGATCATTTGCTTCATGAGACAAACCTTCAGTGAAGTTAGTATTGCCACAGACACTGTGCAGAGGGACACTGGATGGAGTTCTACCCTTACAGGACTCCGGTGTGTTAAGGGACTCCAGTGTGACGAGTGACAAGTACCTGCTAGGGGCTGTCCATTGCCCCTTGAGAGCTCAGGAGAAGGTGTGCTATGCCTAGGGGGAATTGGTGGGAAGGCTCCATTGATGACGCAATGCTTGGATAGGGGTTTGGAGGGTATCTGGCAAAAAGGAGGGCTAGTGCATTGCAGGTGGAGAGGACAGCATATCTCAAGGCATGAAATCCAGGAGGAACACAACCTGTTCAAGGAGGGTCAGGCAGTTCAGGGTGGCTGGTGTAAGGCTCAATAGGGATATGGGGCCAGATTGCCAGGGGCATTGAATGCTGTGCCAAGAAATCTGGACTTTATCTGTATACAGCATGAAGCTATGGAAGGGTATTTTGTGGGTTTTGTTTTTTATTGTGTTTGGAATGGGAGTTTGTGAAGAAGAGGTACCATGTACAAGATACAAAATTCAAAGGTACAAAAGAGGGAAGATGCTTTTAAAGGGCATGATGTGGTCAGAGTTCTCTTCTCAAACAGATTACTTTCAAGGTGTAGAGGACACATGGGAGGACTAGAAACTAGACAGAAGGTGGTCAGCTATAGTAAGTTATGGGAGATGAAGAATGAGTGGGGTGAGGCAGTGGTGGAAAACTTGAGGGACAGGTGAAAGAGATCTCTATGTTCTGTGGGTGTGAGGCATCTGTCTAGAGTCATGATAACAGAAATGCAGATAGACATGTTTTGATAGGTGAAAGAGATCAGGAAGCTGAGCTCAGCCCTGGCCCCACAGGTGAGTTCACTGCCCATACACTGTCCATAGGGCCCACCTCTTCCCAGAGATGTCTACCAGTTTGGTTTGTTCACTCTTTACAAAGGCTCTTCCTCTTTCTCCAGGAGTGTCTAGAGGGGTAGGATTCATCCGCTTTGATAAGAGGATTGAGGCAGAAGAAGCCATCAAAGGGCTGAATGGCCAGAAGCCCAGCGGTGCTACGGAACCGATTACTGTGAAGTTTGCCAACAACCCCAGCCAGAAGTCCAGTCAGGCCCTGCTCTCCCAGCTCTACCAGTCCCCCAACCGGCGCTACCCTGGCCCACTTCACCACCAGGCTCAGAGATTCAGGTAGGCATGCCCACAGGGAAGGAGCCCTGCTACAGGGATTCAGAGCTGGGTGAGGGCCAGGGAAGCCCATGGTCCTGAAGGGTGGGGCAAGGGTAAGAACCTCCACCTTCAGGAATCACCATGCAGAACTCTCCCCGAGACTCAGTTTCCACTTCTGTAAAATGAGACCATTGGACCAGATGCTCTTCCAAGCCCCTTTCCAATTTACTGCTGTGACTATGTGGTTAAACTTCAGATGTTTTGGTAGAAACAAAATTTCTACATTTAACCAAATAAGAAGGTTCAGTTTCAACGAGAGTTAATCACAGATAAGTGACCGTATTCAGCAGATTAGGTTTACGGCTGGACAGTGGCTTTAAATAAAGTCAAAGAAAAGACCAGAAGGCAGATCCTTGCCACAGGGAGTGGTTTTTCCTGTCCTCTTTTCCTTTGGTAGGTGACTCTCTCGGGTTCAGGGGAGGAGGACTCTCTTGGTGTTAACTTTACTGTGTTAAGACAACAGACTCTGGGAAGACAAGGAGGAAGATTTTGTCCCAGCCTTACTACTGTTTCCTTTGGGTAACAAACCCCAGGAAACTCCTGGGACTTTTCTGAAAGACAGGTTTCTCTCCATGAAGGCAGTATGATCTTGACCAGCCTCTATTGTACAAGAGATAAGAATATTTTTGACCTACCCATAATGACTTCTAAGTAATTATTTTATCCCACCCATGTCTCAACTTCCCTTTAAAAAAAGGCTTCTTCTGCTTGTCAGACTTCACATGGGAAAATAGTAGCTATGTCTTTCTGTCTAGGACAGAGTGGTCCATCTGGCTGTAGTGAGAATATTCAGCCTTTTTAATGTCCTCCCATGCCCCGTGAATTTGAAATGGTTAATGATTTCATGAAGAGTCCAAGTCATCTAATTTTTATTTTGTGTGAGAGCACATGCAGTATTTATGTAAAAAGCCTTTCCAGCAGGCTTCTAATGGTGGAAACTATGGTTACGACTGCCTCATGGTGTGAATAGTTTGTCCCCAAGTAAGGTACTGAACGTGAGGAAGATTATAACATAATGGCAGTTTGCTAGGAGGTGGTATCAGGCAGTAAATAGTAAATTAATTTTTGAAAATCTTACCCGCAAACTCCACCTGCCTCCTAAAAATGCGTGTGGTAAGAAGATTTAGTTAATGTAGCTAGGCTAACAGAGAAGATCCGTTCTGATGTGTATTGTGTACATGTGCATTGTTAATCTGGAACAGAGACCTTTATTCACGAGTTTAATTATAGTAAAAGGTGAACAATTTAAGAAGCACCTCTCTCGAACAATTTCACACACAATATAAAACAAAATCCATACAAATGTTCTGAGAGGTGGGGGGAGTGGGAGTAATTCAGACCTTGAAAGAAAGGGAGATTCATTAGACACTTGCTTTAAACTCTAGCATTGACCTGAACATGAATTACTTGCAATTGGAGGAAGAAAGGGGGAAACTACCGGTGGATAGACTCCTAAGCAGTGGGGAAAGTTGTTGAGCTTTTTCTTCTTTGAAAATGGAGCATTCTTATTAATAGTTCCATTGAGCGATCTTGCCATCTGTGAGGCATTAACCCAGAGACCCTCCTTCTCTTTGCAGGCTGGACAATTTGCTTAATATGGCCTATGGCGTAAAGAGGTAATTAAAACTCCACAGATTGCCAGATGTCCGTGTTGGCACAGGCTGGGGCTAGAATTTTTTTTTTTTTTAATTCACTAACTTTACTTGTTTAAAAAAAAATTCTTCCTTTTTCTTCCACTAGCATGTCAAATTCTTAATTTTAATTTCAGACCTCTGTTGATTTTGTTTCTTTTAGGGCACACAAAATGAATTTGTGTGTTTCACTTTTTCTTTTATTTGCAGGTGGGCTTCTCCTATGGTTCAGGTGCCACAGCTACCAAGCCCTTGATAATCTGGTCCTTTGAATGGCTCCCCTAAGGGGGAAGGCTCCAACTCTCTGCTGGCTGGTTTTGCAAACTTGCAAAGCAAACTGTTTTGCATCAGCGATGCCAAGATTCAGTTGAGAGGGCAGAATCCAGCAAATCAGAATTAGAACATTTTGCTAATCATGACTGACAATCTGATGATTTTCAGTAGAAAAATTAGATTTTTGGACTACCAGCCCTGGCCAAAGCATAAATAAACACATGGATGACTTTCTAACTCCTGCCCCCACCACAGTGTGCATTTCAGAGCACATCCTGAAAACAAAGTGTATCTGTGTGCACCTCAACCAGGGATTTCTTTTGTTACAGGTTTTAACAGTTATTATAAATCTCCCTTGGTTATATATGTTACGTGTGTCTCTAAATTGCTGTTCCTTTCATTGAAAGCCTTTTTGTTGGGTTGGGGGCTCAAACAGAGTCAAGGTTTTAGGGATCTTTGAATGTAGTCACAAGGGTATTCCAGACCCAGTCTGAAATCTGAGTCTCAGAAAGTTGGGTGTGTTATGTCACTGTGTTCATGAGAGTCCCATATGTGCTTTTGATAAACTCCACTGCACTGCTAGGGATGTAGCATCTTCATTGTCTTGCTCAGTAGAGCTGCACACTTTAATTCCCCTTCCTACAGTCAAGGGAAAGAGATGTGGTCTTTAATAGTCCGTGTCATACTCCCTGTACTAGGCATTTCTTTCACCACTTGGCCATGCATGGTAAGTACCCTGACTCTGGGAACTGACACCCAGTAGAGGGAGTAACTTGTATACAGACTTCACTATCAGAGCACTAGCCTCTCAAATCTCAATCCCAGCCCCAGTGAAGATAACTGTGAACCATCTATACATGTCTAGCACAATGCTCACCTGTTCCAGGCATTTTATGAATTTAGATAATTCATCTTTCCTAGCTCTGTCTCATCCCTTTGCTCCTCTCTGACTTTAGTGAGGTAGCTCCAAATGTTATGAAAAGAGTAATGCTTGTAAGATAGTTGAGGCCAGGGAAGACAACTGTGGCATGCGTGCAGCCACCTCCTCCACTGTTCCTCCCAGAATAAACGTCACTAGTTGGTAACAACTTTCTTTTTCTATTAAACCCAGATTCAGATCTAGAATTCTCCCTACCTGAGTGCTCCAGGTAACCATCACCAACTAGAATAGAGGCTCTATTTGCAACCTCTTTGATGCCCCTGGCCTTGGCCTTATAATAAGTACTTACCTGTTCTCTGTGTATAAGCTGAAAGGGGTCAGTTCACCGGTTGGAGGAGAGAAGGTTGAAAGAAAAGACAGTCTTCAGAAATAATGCAAATTTCAAACAGATGCGGAATTGCCCTTCTAAGAGTCTGTACCATGATGTTTTTTGGCTTTGTCTTGTTATTTGTTTTTAAACAAGAAGGAAGATTGACTTAATGAATAATAGCAAAAAAAAAGTCTATTAAGTTGTTGTTATGTTTAGCATACCTTCAGCAGCCACGTGATTACCTAAATTCTAATTAGATACAGATCTAGTCTTTAATAGCACTTGCAAATCTATAAGAATATTTGCTTATTTTTAAAAACACCCCTACCTCACACTTTACCCCATGGTCTTTTCTAGTTTTTGCTTCCTCTCCTTCCCCCATTCTCAACTCCCTCCCCCGCCATAATGCCCCAACCACGTGAAAAGCAAGTGACTAGTCAGTGCATAGGGTCAAAAATCTCTATATAACTCGATATGAAACAAAATGCTACCAGTTCTGATGTAGGCAATGGTAGCCTGTTTCATCGGATGCATCCATCACAAATCACACGTGGATTTGTTTTATCAGACAGTGAATAGAATCTGAAGGGCCATTTTTTCTTTTCAGGATTACACAAAAACTGAGATTTCTAAGCCTAATACAAAAGCAGTTGTAATAGGGCAAATAACAGTTTTGTGCTTTTCTAATATATAGTGATTCAAGATACAGAAATGTACAAACCACTTGAAATCTTGCTCCAGTGACACTTAGAAATGAAATCTAGATAATACAGCATCAGAAGTGATAAATCTTTATTTTAATATTATTACTTAGGTTTTGGGGGAAACCTTTTTGAATAAATGCTAAACAAAACATGAGCCACCCATCTGCTTAATAACAAGACAAGCTTGTTCATTCTCACATATCTTCATCTCAGTAATACCAAGAGATCTTTGACAACCATAAGTCAAAGGACTGCAAAGATGGTAGACTTGAGCACTTCTAGGGCCCTCCATTAGTCTGCCTTAAAAACATAAAATAAAATTTCCCAAGCATTGACCAAAGTTACTCACTTATTCAATCAAGAATATGTATTGAGTATTTTCTATATGTCACCATGTTTGTGAGAGTCCCATATGTGCTCAGCTGAATAAATAAAGAGAGCCACAGAATGAATGAAACAGAGCCCCTTCTCCCAAGAGCTGTCTATTGTTGGAGGAAGGGGGTAGGGTCAAGGTAGAATACTTTAAGAGCATACACTGTGATGGATCTATGATAGAACCTTTCTCTGGAAGCCATGGGAGTCCCTTGCGGGGTTTTAGAAATTGACATAGGTCTTTCTCTAAGTATGTACGTGCCTTAGTCAGTATAGCCATTCCCATCAGTAGAAATGAGATAGACACTAGTTTTTACATTTGGTTTTTAAACACTGAAGACTCTCTTGCAAACACTCACTCAGCCCTTTGCCCCGTGTCTGTGTCTGTGCATCTGTGTGTTATCCATGGTCAGACTGATGTCTGGACCAGTCCCCCCTTCTGCTTGTCCCCCCAGGTTCTCCCCAATCACCATTGATGGAATGACAAGCCTTGTGGGAATGAACATCCCTGGTCACACAGGAACAGGGTGGTGCATCTTTGTCTACAACCTGTCCCCTGATTCCGACGAGAGTGTCCTCTGGCAGCTCTTTGGTCCCTTTGGAGCTGTGAACAACGTCAAGGTGATCCGTGACTTCAACACCAACAAGTGCAAGGGATTCGGCTTTGTCACCATGACCAACTACGACGAGGCAGCCATGGCCATCGCCAGCCTCAACGGGTACCGCCTGGGAGACAGAGTGTTGCAAGTCTCCTTTAAAACCAACAAAGCCCACAAGTCCTGAATTTCTCATTCTTACTTATTAAAATATATATATAAATATATACGAACAAAACACGCGCGCATACACACACACATACACAAAAGAGAGAGAAATAAACTTTTCAAGGCTTATATTCAACCATGGACTTTATAAGCCAGTGTTGCCTAAGTATTAAAACATTGGATTATCCTGAGGTATACCAGGAAAGGATTTTATAATGCTTAGAAAAAAAGAAAAAAAAAAAACAAAAAAATACCTTTGATGCATTGAATGTTCTTTCATAGCTGTCGTTGTTGAATATAATATACATAGATAGCGATGTGCAGGGATTTTTACCCAGCCAGCTAACTTTACTACCTTCCTTGAAGGTGGGTCTTTTTAAGATGACCATTCGCTCATTTGAAGAAGAAAAACAAAAAACAAAAAAAAATTAATAAAAATAAAACAATTTTTACAAAGTAATGGGATTCAAAGAAAGGAAAAAAAGATTTTTCTTTTTTGTCAAAATGTTGATCCAATCAGATTGGTAAAAAAAACCCACACAAATTAAAGAGGAATAATAAAAATTGCAAAAATAAAAATAACTTTTGCAAATTTTTTTATTTTTCCTTTTTTCTTTTATATCATGTGAACTAAAACAGTCTTCTGTTAGGGGATGGGGGCAAGGGGGATACCTGATGACATTAAAAATTTAATAACATTAACATTGTTGCCAAAGAGGTGGTCTCTTTGCTGAAAATGGGTTTCAAGAAAAATCTATTTTTATAAAATATAAAGAATTTTTACAAGAGAATCTGGATTTGAGAAAAAAATATTTTGACTGGCTAATTTAGGGGAAATTGACAACTTTGTCGCGTTCATACTGCACTGGTAACTTTTTAGAGATCAAGATGTGTGTTTTAAACTGGATTCGTAGACTGTTTTTTGAAAGATGGGCTATAAACAGATGATCTTCATATCTTTTCATAGCATGTAATAATAATTAAAAACCAATTATTGATTACTAGGGGAAAGGAGTGTTCGTTCTACCCAGGGTACCACAGTTCCCCACAGTCAAAACCCAAAAGCAAGGAGATGAGTTGAAAGACAGTTTTTCTTTAAGTCATCAGTATGGGATGTCAGCAGAACAAAAATTAAAAAGATTAATTTTCCTTTTGATCTAAAACTTCCTTAGTTTGAGCAGTAGGTGCTACGAAATTATTTACATATCTTAGTATCATAGTTAAATGTAATGTGTTTAGGAGAGGAAAACAAAAGATACATTTGCTTTAAATTCATTAAAGAATTTTCAGATTCACTTTGTAGCCCATGCTGATAGAATTGGGCTGTGTTGGTACATTTGAAACACTGTTTATGTTGCTTGAAACACTTATTTATTTAATCGCCGATGTGATGATGCCTATGGCCGAGATCAAATATAGCTAGATTGGCTAGACTACTTATTTGTTTACTTAAACTATGGGAAGAAGCATATTATTGTGTCATTCTGTTGTGTGTGTATGTGTATATACAATATAAATATATATATATAAAGTTATTTTTTCTTTGGGTTAATTTATTATAAGTTGTAACACTTGGCTAGTTTTGTTTGTATATGTCTTAAAATGTTTTCTTATGATATTTAAGTGACAGTTAAAGAGGTATCAAGGTAACTTGTGTAGAACTATTGTTTGATATATTGTCATGTTTGTTGTGAATATTTTTTCTTACTGCACAGTAGAAAAATAAAAACAACTGGGTCTTTATTTTAATGTAATTCAGATTGGGGAAAACAAAACAGAGCTAAGGGAACAAAATGACTGAGGGAGCACTCTCCCACGTCCAGTGCACTGATCATTTTAGTATGTTTGTGCTTTGTACGGTTATATATTTAAAACAAAAACAAAACAAAAAAATACAAGGGTTCATGCTCTTCCCTGGGTAATAGAAACAGTTACTCGCTATGCATAATCTAGTTGATAGTTAAATTTGCTATTGCTTTTCTTGTCTTGTTATATAAAATCTTTTCAATACAAGTTTAGTCTTAATGGTAATAAAACGTTATGGTTATTTATAACTTGTGCTTATTTTGTGCATTTTTTCTCATGCTGAGCCCACTAAGTGCATGTAGACAGGACTGTTGTTTTCACACTGAAGAGACAAACTTTGTAGTAGTCGTCGTAGTGGTAGACAGATAACGAATACCAAGGCTGCATCATAGACTCCTCCTTTAAATTTTTTTTCTGTTTTTTTTTTCCTCTTTTCGGTTTTGGAAATAACACCAGATTTCAGTTCAGAGAACACTCGTTCAATGTTCAGGGAAACCTTTTTATGTCACCTGCTATGAATGAACGCAGTTTGCTGGCAAAGGTTTGATGCTTTGCCAAGCATTAGTGGGAAAGGCATGCCAAAATCACTTCTCTATAATGTGTTCAATCTTGGGGGAAAAAAAAAGGAAAAAAAATCTTAGGACCAGGCAGTTGTATACTTTAGTTATAATGAATGACTTCATGTTAATCTTGCTAGTTTAGATGATTTCCGAGGGAAAGTATTGTAAATGTTTTTTTTTTATAATCTTGTTGTGTTTGAATTATTTGTACTTTATCTGTCCAGACAATAAATGAAAGTGTGTAGAATGGATTTGAGCTTCCCAAATTTTTAAATGTGTTCATTCAAACTTTTTTTTCTGTAGCACCTTCATATTTACCCAATATTTTTATCATTAAACCAGAAAAAAAAAAAATTAGAGTAAAATTCTGTTTTGCAACATAGTCCAGTCTCCCAGAATCAATTTAGTATTCAGAAGTTCATTGTTCTGGCTCCATGCTACTAAAAGTGTGGTCCCCAAATGGCAGGATCAGCATCGTCTGGGAGGTTGTCAGAAATGCACTCTCAGGATGAATGCTAATCTGTATTTAACCAGATCCCTGGGTGAATCACCAGTGCTTTGAAGTTTGAGGAGCACTGCCCTGGTTGATAAGTCAGAACACTTGGTGTTACATGTGGTATTATTATACTCTAGTATCTGTTATTCATTTATAAAAATTCTTGTGTCTTGTTCAGATGACAGGGAGTCCCCATTTGCAGAACATCTTATAATGTATCAGGCAGGCTATATGATATCCTCTCCGTTCTTTCACTTTATCCTCTCAGCAATCTGAGAGTAGATAGCATTATCCTCATTTCACAGATGACAAGACTGAGGATCAATGAGATTAGAAATTTGACATAGCCAGCAAGTTTCCATTTGAGATCTGAATCTGAGTCTGAGTCTACTGTACCTCGCCTTAGCAATGAGATTGCAAAACTTGAGCAATATTAAGAAAGCAGAGCATTTGTACTGAAAATGACAAACAAAAAAAGGTCAGTTTTTTATTTTAGCACTCATTTTTGTTTAAAAGTAGCAAATATTTGACTATCTTACCTTTGCATAGGAACTCTAAACAAGGATTTATTCATAGGTCTAAAGAACAAGGTTTGAGTTAAAATTAGGGAGGAAAGAAACACCTATACTATCATAAAGTCTCATTAAAACATGCCCTGAACTTTACAGATTAGCTTTTTGGTGATTTTCTGAACGATCACTCATTGATGATCTACTGTCTATGTTTCATTTTCATTTTCTCACTAATTGAAAATTCATACATACTCGATAAGACCACCATCCGTAAACTGACACTGCAAGAAATACCCCCACTGAGCCAGATGAACAAAGAGTCAGATTCTCTTCCATTTCTCATTAACCCCTTTTTTATTATTATATTAAGTTACCACATTGGTTGAGATAATTAAATTCAGGGCAAAGAATGGGATTTAATTAACTGAACTAAATATTAAAACTCTAAGTCAGCCTGAATCTCACACAGTTGAACTGAAAGGTTCTTATTTTCATTTTATCTTAAAGACAAGTCCCTGTGTTTCTTTTCTGGAGAAGAATGGATATTCAGATGAACTGTTTACAACAGGGATTACACAGCTTCACAAACATGTTTGTAGGGTCTAAAAATGTTGCTGCCAAAGCTATGATAGTTACCAGTCATCACCACCCCGGCTCCTAAAAGGTGTCATTTTGGTGTACTTTATCTAAATGGATAGCTACACTATTTTGGAATATTGGAAATTGGTGGAATCTTACCAGTTCACATAGTTTATTCTCTGGCTACCAACAGATCTATCTTGAAAATTTCACAAATAGATGTAGATCTTTAAATAGGTCTTGAAAGCATCCATAGAAGATATTCTACATATAATGTCTTAGAAACACTTCCCATCATCAGCACAACGGGTCTGCCTAACATCTAATAAAAAATTGATCTTATCGCGAGTGTAAACCTGTTACCTTAAATCTCCAGGCAAACGTATACAGTTTATGTAGGTGTTTGTAGGAAAGAGCTAGCAAATCACAAGAATACAGAGATTATTACATTTCTTTGAGGTCCTAGGTATATTATATTTTGCTTCAATGAAAAATTGCATGTTATAGAAAGCTGATGGTATTTACTCAGTGTTATTTCTGTCAAAGTAATAGAAAGGGAAGAATACCAAAAAAAATGTGCTTGTGTCTATAACCATCACCATCAGCATCAAAATTTTACTTACTTCTCTATTACTGAAGATCAAACTGAGCACCTGGTAGTTACTGCCAGAAATTTTTACCAGTTGGGTTCTGTTTAAATGTCTTTCACCAAGAACAATCATTTGTAAATAAAACATTAACCCACAAAGAATAACACTTAAAAGTATGTTTGAAATTCACAATCTTGTGGGGCCTATACTCAGTCAGTATTTGCATGTTGGGTGCCTTAACCTCATCAAAATGCAGCACGCAATTGTCCCTTGCCATAGATAACTTAGGAAACTCGCAGTCCTTGAAGTTGTTTTGCCTTTACTTCCTATAGGCACTATACATTTGTTTCTTAATGGACATACACATGTAAACACACAGAGAGGCAAGTATTTGTACAATTGAATAAGAAATGAGTTTTTTTACTTCCACCTGTGAATTCAAAAATCACACCTGACAAGAGAGCAAGTGTGTTTTTTAAACGGAAGAGTCATTAAAATCTTAATTTGGGGCCATCCTGCCTGGATCCCTTACATAGCCCTTCATGAGAGCTCACAGAACACAGCTGTCTGGTATCCTTACACCCTTCACTGCCTTTGTTCTACCTGAAGAAGAGACTAATAAAAGGAAATTACATTTTATTTCCATGAGCTAAAATCAAGTTTTAATATTGTCCAAAAATGACTCGTACTGTTCCTTTATCTTATTAGCTTCTTGGCATATTAGGTAATAAGATAATTTCTCATGGTACAGTATTTATGTAAGAATCATATTTCTCTCTGTGCAGATCACTTACAGAAGTGTCTGTTAACAGGAGAGAATGATGCATAATCGGCACTTAAGATTAAAATAGACCTGAGAACATAAAAGTGTTCCTTCAATTAAAGGAATAGCATTTCTCCTGTCTCATCTTTTTTGTTTCTGCAGCAGAATGAAAACTGGCTTAAAATCACCCAACCCCAGGTTAATTACCAGAAGGCTTTTCTATGCAAGTTCAACTTAATCTACTAGTGGCTCAGATGGAAAGTGGACTCACGTGACGCTCCAGTATGCCATGTGATTATTTCAAACAATTGCCAGCAAAGTCCTTGAGGTTTAAGAAATTGTTTTTAGAAGGAGCACTAGCATTTAGTAAATCTTTCTTATGTCAGGCACTAAACATGCATATAGTCCTAGTGAGGGATATCATCCCCTTTTACATTGAGCAAAAAGAGACTCAGAGAGATTAGGTATTTTGTGCAAATGAGTAGGGGGCAAAGCCAGAATTCAAACCTCAGTCTATCTGACCCTCAAAACCCCCAGTTATACACCCTGGCTCCAAGCCAATTCTGTTGTAATTAGAGCCAAAACAATTGCCAAGTGGTCCACACTTCAACTAACAGTGGTGATAAGTCCAGTTATGTAAGGAATAAGGGAAATTACGTTAATACACTGAGCCTGGGGCTAACCCCCTCCCTCAAATCTTTAATGGAAAAACAATCACATTGTTTTGAAGCATATTGATAAAAACTAAAACTGATGGTTTTTAAATGCTATTGCTCAGCAGTATTTTAAAATAAGGTTAGTTTGTTGATAGGTCTATTTTAACCATCAAAAGTCATTGAGGTAGAAAGGAGTTGAGGAAAGATAGCACAGGCAAGTAAGAATGGTGACAAGCCAACATAGTTGTTCTCAGAGCTGGTCCCATGGGCCTCTTTAAAAGATGAAGGCATTGGGTGAACTAAGAGCACCTTGGTGATCACTTCTTTCACTATTGGTATTGGCCCTAAATCCTAAGAATAATCCTGGGAGACACATAACGTAATCCTCATTTTATATCTGACAAAAACAGACTCAGAGATGTTAAATACCTTGCCTAAGTTTGACAGCATGGTGTAGAATTGGAATTTACATCGATGTCATCTAGTTCCAATCCAATGTGTTTCCACCAAACCACATTGGCTTCCAGGGTGACCTCATCTGTTGAATACCCACCTAGGTGTGAGCTACGGCAGGGTGGAGGTTGAGGGAACCACCTAAGCCTTACCTATACTAGAATCCTTACTCTGAACACCCATCATATGACAGGTACTGAGCTAGGGGCATAACAATAAACATGTCCAGATTTGTTTTGTTTTGTTTTTACTTGTACCTATCTTTTGCATGACACCGTACAGTGGGTTATGACAGAAAACAAAACAAAAAAATGAAAATTTAGAGTTTTGTTACATTGACAGACATACAGAACAATGATCTAGTCATGTAGTACAGGTATTTTCAGTGTGGAATTTCAGGAAATTTTGAAAATCTGTGGGGAATGCAAAGCATATTCTAGGACCCAGGAAGGAAGGAAAAATGTGCCTGGTGGAAAGAGACAAGCTCTAGTGAAAGAAAGCTCTGGTTTGGATCCCTGGGCAAATCATGCATTGAATGTCTATGAGGTTCCTTATCAGAAAAGATAGGATTAGAGATAAAATATGTAGAGTTCCTGGCACTCAAGAGTAGTAGGAATTAAACAGTAGCCAAAAAGAGTTCCCAGAAGAAGATAGCTTGGGCCAGGTCCTTCGGTGAAAAGAAGTGTGTTTGGTGGATGCACCTGGATGTAAAGAACCAAGAAGCCTTCGTGGGGTTGGTCGGGGCGGGGGAATAGTAGGAACACATGTGGGAATAGGGAATAAACTGTTGGGAATCTCACTTGACTTTACGGAACTTGAGCTGTTTCTGAAATACAATAACTTCAGCCACTTACTGGCAGAGGATCTGATTGTCCTCTCAGCCACTAGAGACCCCATCAGTCCCTCCTCTGGGGCCCAGCCATTACAATGACTTGACCATTCCATCTCACTATTCCCTGAGAAATAGACAGCTAGGAGCACCATGAAAGAGTCACAGGGACCTCATCTCAGGGTAAAGGGGATAGAGGTCAGTGCTGAGGAACTTAGGTAGGCAGCAGAGGGAAAGGAGAGTTTAAGAGGTTGATCATACAGGCAGAGGCAGGGACATCTTCAGGGAAGCAGGGCACTAAAAGACTTTTGAGGGGGAAGTCAGGACCCTGCATTCATAAGCAAATACCTGTTAAAGGGCTGATACTCCTAAG